TATATATATAGCATCAATGTCAAACATGATGGGTGTACTTTTTTTTTCTTCTTCGTTCTGTTTTCAGTTATATACATTCATCACTTTAGTGCGTGTTTGAAACAATTAATCTAAAGAAAAATGAATTTCAACATTAGAAGGTCAAAAGTTCGTTCATTCACTAGAAACAAAAAAGCAAATTTATATATATATATATATACATATGCTGAATCTATCTATTGTATATAATTTGTTCAATGAGAAGGATATTGTTTTTATTTTTTTGTCTTTCTCCTTTATTATCATATAATACAGGTGATTGATTCCTTTTTCTTTATATAATATAGCTCTGTTGAATATGTCCAACCGTGATAATGATAGACAAGATGTTTAAAATAAATAGAATTTTTATATAAATAAAATATACATATAAGTACATCAGAGATCGTTAAATGAATCAATTGAATGTTCTCATCTGTAGGGAAAAAAAAAAAGAAAATTATGAGAATTTATTAACATAAATGTAAACCAGGTGTTACAATTTGTTGCCGATGAATATAAAATGAATGTTCAAGGATAAATTAAAATGCGACAGCAAAGAACAAGGTCGTTAACAAGAACAAATATATATTAATGACGTTGAGATAAAAGAATTGATTCGTTTAAAACGACAGGTGATAATAGCATCATTTTTCATTGGAAAAATATATACTATATTGGAACATAATTAATATTATATCAAACAGTCTATCAGTAAACAAAAATTAACAAGCATTGATAATCAATTAAATCTAGAGAATACTACTGCAACGATCTATATTAAACGGTAATGATGTATAAGAAAAATTTATTTTTTTGTAAGTACATACAGTTGAAGCAGTACAATGTCTAATTTGAGATCAGGAAATTCATTGCTATCAGTAAAGTATACAAAAACAATCATGTCTGAATCAGAAAATGCTTTTTCTATATAAAAATACTTTTCTGATAAAAATGAAGTTCTTCACACTATACACATCATTACTATATACTTTTTATATTCAAATAACTTTTTGATATTTATTTCTTGTGGTCATTTCATTAGACGGTCAATAACTTGGACAGATTAAAAGATGAATTATATAAAAATTTTTATTTTCCAGAAAACAATTTATCTTTGTTTCGAATAAATAAAAATGATTTTCATTACTATATGAAAGTGTATATAAATTTTATATTATTCATTATGATTCATCTTTTATTGATTCAAATAGTTTCGTAAAAATCGAAAAACAACTAAAGATAAAATACAATCTGACAGCCTATGTAATAAAAACAATATTGCAAAAAAAAATCCATTATTTTTTTCAATGATAATCATTATATGACGAATAGTGAATATATACTAGCAGTTTGAGTCATGGAACTATCATACCAATATTTTACTGTCTGAATCAAATGTTATGAGTCATCAAAAGTATGCAGTTAAAACGAACACGTAAATCAGAAAGAAAAAATAAACTGCTTGCAAAACTCAAATCATACACTTTTTATCTATTGAACAGGGGGATGACCCGGCCCCTGGTTAGAGTACGTTAGGTTCAGGTCTGAAAATTTTGGATTCAATGGACTCTACTCTGTGACATCAGTATAGTAGTTTTCGAAACTGCTAATATATGAGATGGTTATTTCTAGAAAACTGCTTCATACGAAATGGACCAGTTAGAAACTTACGGTTATGTGAAAATCAGGTGTTTGATAACTGAGCTTATTGATCAATGCACATAGTTGTCAAAAAAAGAATTGGTTCAGCTGTCACATGTTTCCTATTGATTAAAGACATGGTTTACAGACAGAATGATTATTCAAAATTTCTCAGAATTAAGTCTTACGTTTTTTTGAAAACTGATGTCATTTATGTAGATTTTATAGCTTGTTTGAGAAAATCTTCATTTACTTCCATATCTTGGAAGTAAGTTACCAAAATTCTACAGCATGTTTAGTATTCGAATTTTTAACTGGTAAAAATAAATACAACTTCCATGTATTAGAAGTGTTTCACACCTTCGATTCTTTCACCACGGTCGGACTAGCCCTGTTGCTGAATATAGTTACTGCAACTATCGGTGAAACTAAAAATTATAGTTAAATATTCTATGGTTCTAAGTGAATTATCTTATAAATCATCAAAGAGAACATAATTCAACTGGGATGACTAAAAAAAAATACTAATTATCGCGGCTAACTAAATCAGAAAACGAGTTATTGAAGGATTTTTTTTAGATGTGATACGAATAAATTCTGAACTAATTTTCTTTAGATTGGGACTAAAACAACTTGATCTCACACATCTTTAATTAGAAGAAATATGTTACTCTTTATGTAGGACCGTTTGATTGGTTTAGTGACCGTGTGCTGAGGAAAGGAGACTGAACAACGTATTAAGCCTTGTTTTTTTTTCTCTTTGACCGTATTATTGAATAGGTAAAAGCAACATTAATTTGATGAAACTTCTATTTCTCATATATAAATCTAAATAAATAAGTCTTTGTTTTTTAATTTGTTTTTTCATCAATTTAAATTTTACAATTCAATAAAAGGTCTATTATTAATAAAATTCGATGTATTTGTAGAGCTTGATTCTTGATTGTTAAGTTCTTCATTAGTTGATGCAATGTTCGCTGATATTGATGGGACATAATCTTTTAAAATATTTCGATTACATAATGGACAACTTTGATTAGCTAATAACCATGGATCAATACATCCAATATGGAAATAATGTAAACATACTTTAAAAACAAATAAAATAAATTTTTCAGTAAATATATATTTATTTTATCTTACTAAGTTTTCGAATTTTTTCATTATCAATAAATGATTCTAAACAAATAGCACACATTGGATCATCATCAATATAATCATTAGTTTTATTCTTTGAATTAAATATAATAATTGGTGTTTTATTAAGTATTTGTTGAATTGAATGTGCAAGTGTTTTTTTAAGTTTATTTTTTATTTGACGTCTTTCATATTGACGATAATATATAACAATAAACCATCCAATACAAAGTATTAATGTAAGAGCAACACATGTTATAAGAAATATGATACCAAATAAATTTTTTTTATTTAATCGATAACGTTGTATGTCTGTCGAGGGATCATTTAAATATTCTATTCTACATGTTAACTTTATTTTCTCAGTTTTATTATTTATATTTAATCTTATAATATCATTTAAACCTTCTTCTACTTGAATATGTTTGTCAATTGTTATATTATCATTATCTAATAGATTATTTAATATGATCCATAAGTCTGTAGAAATAAATCAATATAAGAATTAATAAATTATGTAAAAAAAGAAACAAACATTAGTAATTACTTTTAAATTTATTTCGACAAATTGTATACTCAAAAGATCTTATTTCTGTATAATGAATTGATGATATATTAGGTGTAATCGTTTCTATTGCATAACGAGATAAAATGTAACCAGTACTAGCTTGAGATTTAGGAATTATATCATTAACAATTTGTATTGAACGCCTGTTGCTCGGTTGCCATTGAAAATTAAGACAAAGTAAAACTGCTTTATGTGTTCGCATTGGATATGATTGAGATTTGTATAGTAGATAATTTGTAAGAAATATTAAGAAGAATATTAGTGTATGCATAACTGATTTTTTTCTAGTCGAATATGGCCTTTTTTTACTAGATTTATATTAAATGCTATAGTTGATTTTAGTTCAATATTAAACTGTCAATTTCTGTTTCCTTTTTTTTATCAACATCCTGAGCATTAGATATTTTGACTTGCGTGTCACAAGTAAATATATAGGCAATACGCGCGTTTTTATAACTTTTTCATATTTGCATTAGTGCTCTTTTTGTATGTCAAATATAAACATATGTCATAATGAGAGAGGAACGCATACCATTTATTGAACGAGAAAAAAAAGAAACAATAAATATGATTTATTTTTATTGTGAGATGACCAGTAGAGTCTAACTTTTCTTTTTAATAAAATGGGACTATAAGAGCAGAACGAAAAAAATAGGGCAAAATAAGTTCATTTGTTTGTTATTGATGTTGTTGTTGTTGCTGCTTATTTTGTTATTGGAAGAAGCATCATCCGTCCCCAGTCAATTTTTTTATTTGATGTTGCAAAACGTTCATTTTGTAATTTTGTAAAGACCACTTTGAAAACATCACTAATAATTGGAATTGAACTTTCTCTCACAATGATTGAAACATAAAAGCGAAGTGTCGCAAGATCTTTATATTGTTTGCTAACATCCATTATTCTTATTAAATGTGCTTTATCTTTAACATCAGAAACTAAATTTCGTTTGTAAAATTCTTCTGCTGAGTAACGAGCAATATCAGATTGAAGGCTTTGAATAACAAATGAATTAGGATCTTGAAACGAGGAATTAAACACTTGATTGTGTATATCATGCTCATAAACATAATTCACATAGACATCCTGTGGTGCACAACCAGATGATTCCGATTTCCTTGATGATAATCGTCCTTTGAATACATGTCCACGAAGAAGACTATAGAGTAAACTAAGCTGTCGTAAATCGATATCTGTATTCAGATAATTCTGACGCATTGAATCAATTGTTATATCACGTATTCTATTAGATTCCAGATCAGAAACACCAAAACGTTCACCTAAGACAATCATTTTACCAGTACGCGGTAATTTTATAACTTTTTTACCTTGTGATTGGCCGCTCTTTCTAATCAATTTTGGAATACTAATCTTACTCTTCCTTTTCTTTCCTTTGCCAGTAGCTACCACAGGTTCGACTGTTTTGGGAACATCACTAGATGGTTGGTTCGTTGGAACCTTTGGAACACTATCAATATTTGATAAGCCATTGCTCGGTAATGATTGTGCCACATATAAACCATCTTCAAGATGAAAAAAATTAAAAAAAAAAACTCTAATTCACACCACCATTGTAAAAAAGAAATATTTTATCCCAAATAGATTGCACACTCAAAGAAACTTTTTTCCTGCTTTCAGACATACAGATTTCCATTTGACAGACATTAACAAGTTAATTAAAGTATTTAATGCACGTTCAAAAAAACAACGCACTATAATAACCTACATTTCTGATAATCCCCATCGTTCAGAGTCTTTAGGGTCCCAATGTCAAGAAAATTCCTGTAAGACTTATGTCAACATAAGAAGCATCCAACATTACAAAACCTACATCTTCACTGTCTTTTCAATTCAAGCATCAAGTATTGCGTTGACAATATATCAAGCGCTCAAACTCACCTCGTGTTTTAGGTACAGCATCTGCAACAATTCCAGGCGTTTGTATCGCTTTCGTTTGTTTTGGTGCCTCTACTACTTCTCCACCAGCACCAACAGCTTTGACGACAGACGATTTTCCTTTCACTTTGCTTGTTTTAGTTGATTTAGTTTCTTTCTTACCTAGGACAACAGCACCCACAACATCTGCGCCATCTACCTTTTTGATCGCTTTGTCACCTTTCCTTGGTTTTCCACTTAGGACAACAGCTCCTACAGGAGCTGTCGCATTTTTCCCTTTGCCACCTTTAGGCGCTTTACCTGCTTTTCCCGCTAGGACAACAGCTCCTACAGGAGCTGTTGCATTTTTTCCTTTGCCACCTTTAGGTGCTTTACCTGCTTTTCCACCTAGGACAACAGCACCCACCACATCTGCGCCATCTACCTTTTTGGTCCCTTTGTCACCTTTACTTGGGTTTCCACTTAGGACAACAGCTCCTACAGGAGCTGTCGCATTTTTCCCTTTGCCAC